TCTCAGAGTTGTGAGATCGAGCCCCATGTCGGGCTCCACACTCAGTGGGGAGTCAGCTTGAGATTCTCTCTATCCCTCTCCCTCTGCCTCTTCCCCTGCTCTTTCTCTCTCTCTCTAAAGTAAATAAATAAATCTTAAAAAAAAAAAGGGGGGGACACCTGGGTGGCTCAGATGGTTAAGGGTCTGCCTTCGGCTCAGGTCATGATCCCAGGGTCCTGTGATCGAGTCCTTGCTCAGCAGGGAGCCTGCCGCTCCCCCTGCTTGTGCTCTCTCTCTCACTCTCTCTGGCAAATAAATAAATAAAATCTTAAAAAAAAAAAGAACAAGTAAGAAAAAAATAGAAGAGGAAGGAAAACTTTGAAATTCATTCTATTAGACCAGCATTACCCTGATACCAAAGCCAGACAAAGACACTCTTAAAAAAAGAAAACCACAGACCAATATCCCTAATGAACAAAGATGCAAAAATCCTCAACAAAATAGTAGCAAATCAAATTCAACCATACATTAAAAGGATCATTCACCACTACCACGTGGGGTTTATTCCAGGGATACAAAGATGGTTTAATATCTGCAAATCAACCAACATGATACACCATGTTAAAAAAAAATGAAAGATAAAAACCATACGATCATCTCAACAGATGCCAAAAAAAAAAAAAAGCATTTGACAAAATTCAACATCCATTCATGATAAAAATTCTCAATCAAATGGGTTTAGGGGGAACATACCTCAATATAATAAAGAACATATATAACAAACCCTCAGCTAACATCATACTCTATGGTGAAAAACTGAAAACTTTTCCTCTAAGATCAGGAACAAGACAAGTATGTTCACTCTTGCTACTTTTAGTCAACATAGTAGTGGAAGTTCTAAGCACAGCAATCAGACAAAAAATGAAAAAAAAAGGCATCCAAGGTAGGGAAGAGGTAAAACTGTAACTAGTTGCAGGTAACATGGCACTATATGTAGAAAACCCTAAAGACTCCACCAAAAAACTATTAGAACTAATTAATGAATTCAGTAAAGCTGCAGGATACAAAATTAATATACAGGAATCTGTTGTTTCTATACACAAAGAAGAAAGAGAAATTAAAAAAAAACATTTACAGTTGCATTAAAAAGAATAAAATTCCTAGAAATAAATTTAACGAAGGAGGTAAAAAAACTGAACTCTGAAAACTGTAAGAAGACATTGATGAAAGAAATTGAAGATAACATGAATGGAAAGATATACCATGCTTATGGATTAGAAGAATTAACATTGTTAAAATGTCCATACTACCCAAAGCAATCTATATTCAATGCAATCCCTACCAAAATACCAATAGTACTTTACACAAAACTGGAACATAATCATAAAATTTGTATAAACCCACAAAAGACCCTGAATAGCCAAAGCAATCTTTTTTTTTTTTTTTTTTAATTTCAGAAAGATAGAGAAAGAGCACAAGCAGGACGAGGGGCAGATGGAGAGGGAGAATCCCAAGCGGACTCCACGCTGAGCGCGGAGCCCCATGCAGGGCTAATCCCAGGACCCTGAGATCATGACCTGAGCTAAAATCAAGAGTCAGATGCTTAACCAACTGAGCAACCCAGGCGCCCGCCAAAGCCATCTTGAGAGAGAAGAACAAAGCTGGAAGTATCACAATCCCAGATTTTTATGCTATAATACAAAGCTATAGTAATCAAAATGGTATGATATTGGCACAAAAATAGACACATATATCAGTAGAACAGAATACAGAGCGCAGGGGCGCCTGCCTGGGTGGCTCAGTCCATTAAGCATTTGCCTTCAGCTTAAGTAATGATCTCAGGGTCCTGGGATCAAGGCCCTCATCAGGCTACCTGCTCAGCAGGGAGTCTGCTTCTCCCGCTCCCTCTGCCCCTTCCTGCTGCTCATGCTGCCTCTCTCTCTCTCAAATAAATAAATAAAATATTTAAAGAAAAGGGGAAAAAAGGATACAGAGCCCAGAAATAAACCCATGCTTATATAGTCAATTAATCTACAACAGGGATGCCTAGGTGGCTCAGTCAGTTAAGGGTCTAACTCTTGATTTGGCTCAGGTCATGATCTCAGGGTTGTGACATTGAGCCTCAGGTCAGGCTTGTGCTGAGCGTGAAGCCTGCTTAAGATTCTCTCTCTCCCTGGGGTGCTTGTGTGGCTCAGTTGGTTGAGCAGCCAACTCTCAGTTTAGGCTCAGGGCATGATCTCAGGGTTGTAAGATCAAGCGCCTCATCAAGCCCTGCATCGGGTTCCCCGCTTAGCGGGAAGTCTGCTTGAGATCTCTCTCCCTCTCCCTCTCCCTCTTCTCCTCCCCTGCTTGTATGCATGCATTCTCTCTCTCTCTCTCAAATAAAAAAATAAATAGTAAAAAAAAAAAAAAATTCTCTCTCTCCCTCTCCCTCAACCCCCGCTTGCATACTCTCTCTCTCCCTCTTAAAAAAAACAAAACAAAACAAACAAAAAAAAACACTAATCTGTGACAAAGGAGACAAGAATATATAATGGGGAAAAGACAGTCTCTTCAATAAATGGTTTTGGTAAAACTGGACAGCTATATGCAAATGAATGAAACTAGACCATTTTCTTATACCATACACAAAGATAAATTGAAAATGGATTAAAGATCTATATGTGAGACCTAAAACCATAAAAATTCCTAGAAAAAAAAAAATAGGCACTCTTCTCTTTGACATCAGCCTCAGCAATATTTTTCTAGGTATGTGTCCTTTGGCAAGGGAAACAAAAGCAAAAATAAACTACTTGGACTACATCAAATTAAAAAGCTGTTGCACAGTAAAGGAATCCATCAACAAAATAAAAAGGCAATCTACTGAATGGGAGAAGATATTTGCAAATGATATATCCAATAAGGAGTTAATATCCAAAATATATAAAGAACTCATACAACTTTCTAGCAAAAAAACAAATCGGATTTAAAAAAGAGCACAGGACCTGAACAGACATTTTTCCAAAGAAGACAGACAGATGGCCAACAGACACCTGAAAAGATGCTCAACATCATTCATCATCAGGGAAATACAAATCAAAACCACACTGAGATATCACCTCACACCAATCAGAATAGCTAGTATCACTAAGAAATAACAAGTGTAAACCAAAATGTAGAGAAAAGGGATCTCTTGTGTGCTGTTGGTGGGAATGTAAATTGGTACAATCACTAGAAAAACAGCATGAAGTTTCCACAAAAAATTAAAAAAATGAAACATCACATGATCCAGTAATTCCACTGCTGGGTATTTATTCAAAGAAAATGAAAACAGTAATTTGAAAAAACTATATGCACCCTTGTTTACTGCAGCATTATTTATAACAGTGAAGACATGGAAGCAACCTCAGTGTCCATTGATAGATGAATGGATAAAGAAAATGTGGTATATATCCTGGAATGTTACTCAGCCATAAAAAAGAACAAAATCTTGTCGTTTGCAACAACATGGATATACTTAGAGGGTATTATGCTAAGTGAAATAAATCAGATGAAGAAAGTCATATCCCATATGATTTCACTTACATGTGGAATAGAAAAAACAAAATGGGGGCACCTGGGTGGCTCAGTCATTAAGCAGCTGCCTTTGGCTCAGGTCATGATCCCAGGGTCCTGGGATCAAGCCCCGCATGGGGCTCCCTGCTCAGCGGAGAGCCTGCTTCTCCCTCTCCCACTCCCTCTGCTTGTGTTCCCTCTCTCGCTGTCTCTCTCTCTGTCAAATAAATAAATAAAATCTTTAAAAATAATAATAAAAATAATAAAATGAAATCTTTAAAAGCAAAAAAACAAATAAAAAATAAAAAACAAAATGAATGAACAAACAAACAAAAACAGATTCATAAATCCAGAGAACAAACTGGTGGTTGCCAAGTAGAAGGGAAGTAGAAGGATGGGTAAAATAGGTGAAAGGAATTAAGAGATACAAACTTCTAGTTATAAAATAAATAATCATGGGGATGAAAAGTGCAGCACAGGGAATATAGTCATAACAGTGTAATAACTTTGTATGGTGATAGATGGTAAGTACACTTATTGGAGTGAGCACTGGGTAATATATAGAACTGATGAATCGCTATGTTGTATACCTGCAACTAACAACATTGTCAGTTATATTTCAATAATAAAAATATTAGTAATAACCAGAACAAATAATAAGACAGGAAAGCTTCTATAATGAATCACAGGCTAAAAGTAAAAAAAAGAAACATAATTTATTAAAGTTATTCATTTTGAAGACAATGATCAGACAAAGCTCTTCTGTGGCAATTACAGAAGCTTCTGCAAGTGGTTATCATAGCTTATAGATCTCAGAGATGAAAGAGAAAAAAACTATCCAGAGTAGGCAGAGACTGCTATTTGCCTGCCAATATCCAAATCGTCCCTTCCTTCTCAGTAACAAACGCCCAATTTTATTCGGGATAGCTATGCATCCAGCTACATTTCCCTGCTTCCCTGGTAACCTGAGGTTTGGTTTGGGAAGTCTCCTTAAAGGAAGAGGATCCCTCTTTGTCTTTGCCTTGCTGCCTGGAACTGGGTTGTGATGATTAGAACTCTGGCAGCTATCCTGGACTACAAGGACCAGTGCCACACCTTAGAAATGGCAAATCAAAGAACTGGGAAAAGCTTAGGTCCCTGATAACTTTATGAAGCTACTATACCTATCCTAGACAACCTACTTCAAGAATTATTGTACATGAGGGGCACCTGGGTGGCTCAGTCAGTTAAGCATCTGCCTTCAGCTCAGGTCATGATCCTGGGATCCCAGGATCGAGCCCCACATCCGGCTCCCTGCTCAGTGGGGAGTCTGCTTCTCCCTCTGCCCCTCACCCTGCTTGTACTCTCTCTCTCTTTCTCTTTCTCTCACTCTCAAATAAGTAAATAGAATCTTAAAAAAAAAGATTTTACATGAGAAAATAAATATTGTGTGTTTAAGCCATCATTAAATCTGTTTTTACTTTTTGCTATCTTAACTGATCACTTACCTTCAGATAAGTAAAGAATTTTTATCTCCTTTTTACAGATCAGGCAACTGAGATCCAGAGAGGTAAGATGACTTGCACAACATCAAATTAGTGAAGAGGTGGGTCTTGGCTCCTAGGTCAATGCTTTTTCACTAAAAACTGACTCAACAAGTTCTAAATGTAAAAAAAAAAAGAAATAAAAACAGATTAAATATAAACATAAATTTAGCCTTATTACAGTGGTAATGGCATATGATAGTATATATATTTGTCACATCCTATAAATAGAAAAAGTACCAAATTTTTATGATGTGAAAGGAGACTAAATTATATCAAAATCCAGTGGAGAGGGGAGAGAGAAATATTAAATAAACAGAATCAAAGACCACAATAAACAAAGATTTGGGTTTAAGATGCCAAGGCTTTACCATATCACTCCTCTTGTAAATAAGAAGAATTCAGACTAAAAGCTTATTTTCCTCAGCAATGAGACTTCAAGATATAGGTTAAGTTTTCTCCTTAGATCCTTAACTGAAATTTTTCTTAAAATCCTTAACTAGAATCTTTCTTTACTCTTACCACCACTTTAAAAAATTAACCTTGGCCCCAGTGTTAGTCACAGAGATCAGTAATAAAGCAAAATAGATCAAATTTTCTTTTTTGAAACCCCACTACCTGTCAAATACAAGGCAGCTGGCTCATGTGCAAACCCACTGGTGAACAAAAGGAATTATTTCTAAGCAGTCTATAAAGAAAATAAGCAAATAAAATATCTTCAGATTTTAAGAAGACATAGATTTCTTTCTTTTTATGGTATATTAACATAAAATCATCTAAACAGGAGAGTGATCATGCACGTCATATGTAAAAAAAAAAAAGGCATATGACTTTTATTAACACAGCATGGTCAAAAATAAACAACAGATTGAATCCTTATCACTCCCATTTACTGGCAAGCTATTTGCCTCTCTGATTCTCAATTTTTCTGCCTATAAACTGAACTAATACATCTTCATAAGTTTTTGACTGGCTGAAAATAAGAATGAATACATGGTAATTAGCACAAAGCATGGCAATCATAAATGCTCAGTAAGTATTAATGCCTTTTGTGTCTTGAAAATGAAATAGCTATATAAAGTAATAAAAATCTGTTCTGTAAACACGCAAAGTTATAGAACCTAAAGAGCAATATACCAGTTTGACATACAACCTTTAAATGTCATTTTTGGAAAGGCTGCATTAGAACTCTCCTCTGAGCATTGCCACAGCCAAAGTCCTGATGCAGCTGTAGGCCAATGACAAGAATACATCCAACAAAAGAGGAATACAATCTCTTCCTCCCTGGGATTAAAACAAGAGTCCCAGGTTTCTTTCTCCAAGGCACTGCCCTTGGCCAGGAAACCTGGGCTGGTTCTTCTTGCTGTCAATGTCATAATTCTAACTGTGAAAAGGAGCACGGTGGAGAAAAATAAATGGCTTCTGAGTTTCTCAATGGCAGCAGTGATGAGGGAGACCAGTACCCCAGTACTCAACTCCATTTTTCCCTTTAAAAATGAGAGTCCACAGGAAAGCAAGATTCAAAGTAAAGTATCAGATGTCTGACCAGCTGAGCTGGACTCCAACCCTTCCATGAATCAAGACATTAGTATAGATATTCGGGTGCCTGGCTGACTCAGTCAGTGGAGCATGCAACTCTTTATCTCGGGGTTGTGAGTTCGAGCCCCACTTAGGGCATAGAGATTACTTAATTAAAAAAAAATTTTTTTTAATGAGAGTCCAAAGGAAAGTGAGATTCAAAATAAAGTATCAGATGTATGACCAGCTGAGCTGTATCAAGACATTAGTATAGATATTAATGTCTTTGATGTTCATATCTGTAGAAAAGGACACCAACCAAGGACACCATCATATTGCCTTTCTTTTTTCAATCTTAATTGGTTACAGTATCCTTGATAATAGGCTTACTTAATGAGAGCAGATACTGTTTCTCATCTGTATCACTCAATAAACAAATGTATTAAAATTACAATGTCTTGGGCACCTGGGTGGTTCAGGTGGTTAAGCATCTGCCTTTGGCTCAGATCATAATCACGGGGTCCTGGGATCAAGGCCTGCATCAGGTTCCCTGCTCAGCGGGGAGCCTGCTTCTCCCTCTCCTTCTCCTGCTCCCCTGCTTGTGCTCTCTTGCTCTCTGTCAAATAAATAAATAAAATCTTTAAAATAAATTTAAAATTACAATGTCTCCATTATTCATATATACTGTACTTTGGATAACTAAAATACAATATGCCAAAAAGCTCTGCCAAATTTAAAAAAAACAATTAAAAAATTTTTTTAAAAAACTCTGCCAAAAATAAAAGTATGCAACTGCTATCTCAATTTCCACTAGATTGCTTTAAAATTTTTATTTATTTTTATTTTTTTTATTTTTTTAGATTTTTTATTTATTTATTTATTTGAGAGACAGAGAATGAGAGATAGAAAGCACAAGAGGGAAGAGGGTCAGAGGGAGAAGCAGACTCCCTGCTGAGCAGGGAGCCCGATGTGGGACTCGATCCCGGGACTCCAGGATCATGACCTGAGCCGAAGGCAGTCGCATAACCAACTGAGCCACCCAGGCGCCTGCTTTAAAATTTTTAAAACAGAATTCTGGGACCAGAAATGATCTCAGAGGTGGTTTGGTTCAGACCCAACTTTTACAAAAGGTTATAAAGCATAAGGAAGCTAACTGACCTGGCCAAAACCATTTGACAGAGCCAGGATTGGAATCTGGCCATCAAATTCAAATCAAGAATAATTTTTACCATTTCATGTTTTTTTTTAAACTTTGGATTGAAAATCAATAAGCGATTGAGATTTTTTCCTTAAATAAATTATTTGAAATTGTTAGGAGTCTGTTTTTTTAAGTCTATAAGCTAATTGCACATATCCAACATAAAAATAACAAATGTCCCCCTTCTAGACCTTCAGGTATTTAGAAAGAGTTAATCATCTATCATATAATCATCTATCATACCAAATACAGTCAACTCAATTACTCACGATACTTAAAAGATTATCCACTTCAGGGATTACTTTCAATGCATGTTAAAATCCTGTATTTGATTCCTCCAGCTACCCAATACTTAAAAGGGTATTTTCCCCATTCACCAAAAGGGCCCTTAGAAAGTAGAAAGCAACTTAAATATTATTCTAAATAACAAAATTAATTGGATATATCTATAGAGATATACAACATATCCCCAAACAAAAAGACACTGGTATTGATTATGCTACTGATAGTCTATATTAGCAACCATGATTAATAACTAGTGTTTTGAAAGGTACCCTCATTGTTTTCATTGTGCATTTCGTTTTAACTGGTATTTACAGGGCACAAACCAACTTGGCAAAAGTTGAACGGTAAGTACCGATGGGCAGATTAAGGTGAACAGAGCAGGGATTTAGGCCATGCAAGATGGGTATATTAAGATTGCTGGAAGAGAGGGTGCCTGGGTGGCTCAGTTGGTTAAGCGACTGCCTTCAGCTCAGGTCATGATCCTGGAGTCCTGGATCGAGTCCCACATCGGGCTCCCTGCTCAGCAGGGAGTCTGCTACTCCCTCTGACCCTCTTCCCTCTCGTGCTCTCTCTCATTGTCTCTCTCTCAAATAAATAAGTCTTAAAAAAAAAAAAAAGAAGAAGATTGCTGGAAGAGAACAGCACTAGGAACCACAAGGAGGCAGAAATGAATTTTTCACTAGCAAGTTAGACCGGATCATGGAGAGTTTAGAGAACAAGATGAGAAACAGGAGTTCCATGTTCACCCCAATCACAAGAGTAATAGTATTTGAGATTTCTCATTCTAAATTTCCTTTTTTTTTTTTTAATTTTGGGCCCTATTAACTGAGGAACATTTGTTGAGACATTTGTTTGTTCAGCATTTATTGAACTTGCTGATCAAGTTTTATGAAACAAGAACTCGCATTCAGCTTCAATCAAGATGAATCCTGAGATAATATCTATGAGAGACAAGATGCAAAAATGTAGATATTGCCTAACTATTCAACAGAATTCACCAGGGAAGGCCCTAAGAAACAAAAATTTAAATAAATCATAAAAGAATCTATAGGTTTTAGGATCCAAATCTATTATACCTATAGTCATTCAACTTTTAACTAATTCCTTAAAGCCAATGTTTCCTCAATTCTTTCAATTCTTACAGGGCAAGTCCAGAATCTCCTTCAAACTATCAGAAATATTTGCATCAGTTCCAAATCTATTAACCATACTGCTTTTAATAAATTCCTTAAAGCAACTCTCTCAGCATTTTTTTTTCCGATTCTTTAGAGAAAGTCCACAATCTCCTTCAGACAGAATTGACTATCAGAAATATTTGCATTTAGGGCGCCTGGGTGGCTCAGTTGGTTAAGCGACTGCCTTCGGCTCAGGTCATGATCCTGGAGTCCCAGGATCGAGTCCCGCATCCGGCTCCCTGCTCAGCAGGGAGTCTGCTTCTCCCTCTGACCCAACCCCCTCTCATGCTCGCGCGCTCTCTCTCTCTCTCAAATAAATAAATAAAATCTTAAAAAAAAAAAAAAGAAATATTTGCATTTAACCTCCTTCTTCCCCTTCCCCCTTTTTCAGCCAAGATAATAGTAAGTGGTTTGATGTTCATATTCATCCATGGATTTAATAGCATTAATAAAAGGCTTAGATGGGAGCACTTATTCAATTGTGTAAATGTATATTATCCAATTTAGGAGTTTAGTGGACATTCTGAGAATCTCAAGAGGTTCTGTCTCCCAGAAATCAGAATAATGGCTCAAGGGTCATGTGCATATTTTCTCCCTCCTTCTTTCTCTCCCTCTTTCCCTGTTCCTGTCTGTCTCGATATTATAAAATATGTGGATATTGTGGGACGCCTGGGTGGCTCAGTCCGCTAAGTGACTGCCGACGGTTCAGGGCATGATCCTAGGGTCCTAGGATCGAGCCCCATGTCCCCATGTCCGGCTCTTCTCCCTCTCCCTCTGCCTGCCGCTCCCCCTGCTTGTGCTCTCTCTCTCTCTGACAATAAATAAAATCTTTAAAAAAAAAAAAATCTGGATATTGTAAAATAATCGCCACCCAAGACCAATTGCCAGCACCGACCACAACAGTAACTACAATTGTTCGCGGAGTTACCATTTAGGAAGTGCAACGAGGAAGTGGGAGTACTATCTCCGAAACAGAAAGAGCTAGTCTCACAGCAATTATTTCTCACTTAAGGGAAAACAATACCACAGCTGACACGAACTTTCTCTAAGTGTCAAGGATGGCGGGGTTAACAGACAGGCAGAAGAGCAGGATTCGCCGGCCTAGTTTTGCTTGACCGCGCCGGGGGTGATATGCATCAGCAGGGAACTGGTGGGTACACCCCCCTTCTCAGTGGGCACCTCCTTCGCCCAACGACCTGCCAAGGCGAGGCTGGACCCTGTCGGGGTCTCGGTCCTGCACTCACCCACGCCTGCCCCCGGCCAAGAACCTACCACCTTCATCTACCCCAAAGAAAGCTTGAGTGCCCTGCTGCGAGTGGAGTGGAAAAAGGGACCCCACGCTTCAGGTTGCAACTGGAAGCGCCCCTCCACCGGTGCCCGCCCACTGTGCGGTTTCCCCCGCCATTCTCCCTGCAGGGTAGGGCAGGCGAAGCCCTGAGCCCTATCTCAGTACCCGCTCCAGCCTCCCGCCGCGCTGATCCGCACCCACTTCGGGCCCCCGGCCTTACCAAGCCGGGTCTCGGCGCTCGAGGCTCCGCCTGCTGAATGCACGCAGTACATAAACCTGTCTCTCCAGCCCCCCGCCCGCGTTTTTGCTCTGGACCTCTGTTGACCGGGCGCTCCCGCCTCTTCGCTGCCTTGGCGACAGCCCCCGCCCCTCCGACAGCCTCTGATTGGTCCGATTAGGATCGCGGAAGTTGCCGATTGGCGGGGCGGAGACGAGGCCGCTCCCGCTGGCTGAGAGGCGGGCGGCGGGGAACGGGAACGCGAAGGAGCTTGGGGGAGCCTAAGCCAGGAGGGACGTGGCGCTCTGCGACGCGGGCGGGGAAGCCGCGCCCCTTCCTTCTCTAGCTTTAATGGAGAAGCCTGCGAAGCTGGAATTTGGGCGGGTGAGGTGCTGTCCCGGGATCGGGACAAAGCCCCAGGGATCGCCTCCCCCTTGGCCGCGGGCCTGCGCCGGCAGCGCTGAGACCGGTCAGAGATAGGCTGTCAGGCCCATTTTCGCCTATAGGCCTCGCTCGGGGTGACACCCCCGGCCTCCTCCCGGCGGGAATCTTTTCTGGTATCCGCATCCTCACCAACCGCGGTGGTGCACGCAGGGCCCTCGGCCACCGAGCTTGATTGCTTTTTACTACCCCTTCTCCCATCTCTCACACCCTTCTGCGCACATTATCTCTTTTCTCTACAGCCAACTGCTCCTAGAATTACTCCACTCCCCCTCACTTTAAAGGTGGGAAAACAGGCTCAAAGATATACGTGGTTCGAGGGTCAGAGAAGCTTTTGGACCCTCGAGGCTGATTCCAAAGCATGTCTGCCAAATAATAGTACCGCCCAAAACAAGTTTTCTAGCTTGCAAAAAACGGTATCTATCTCAGAGTTGTTAGTGAAGATTAGATGAGTAAAACATTGCAGAAAACCAGTACAGAATCTGCTGCACGTATGTTAATCATGGTTGCTTCTATTTACCAGGAAATAAAGGCGGGTAGTAACTAACTGCACCAGTTTAGAGCCAGACTGCCTACGTTGCAAAACCGGATTCAGTTTACCATACCAACTACAAGTTACTTAAGTGCTTTGTGCCTCGGTTTCCTTGTCTGTAAAATGGGGATGATAATTGTACCCTCCTCCCTACAGCATAACAATTAGTAGAAAAGTGACTGGCACACACTAAGTGCTCAATAAATGTTAGCCATTCTTACCTTAGTGGCGGAGCTAGGACTATAATTCAAGTCTTTGGACTTCAAGACCAGTAAACTTTGCTCCTACACACTTCTCATCGACATACTTAACAGTGTCTCAAACCTTTTTAAGATTCAGTTAGAAACACTTGTCCATTTTCTTTAAGTCAAAATCTTAAACTATCTCCCTTATCATCATCAAAGTCTTAGAATGTTGTGATTCTGCCTCTAATGAAGGTTTAATGGCACAGGCAAATGTAAGGAAAATAATCATGTTCTGGGCCAATGGATAGATTGAAGAGCAAAAGCACTAGAGTAAGAATATGCAAGAGGTGATGGTGTAGGAGCACTGAATTTCAATTTGAAGAACATGGGAAATATTATTGTATATTGGTTATGTAACATTAATAATCAATATTAGTGTCAGATCAGGAGACAATACCACATCCCAACACTGCAAAACACTAAACTGTAAATACATCTTCCACATTTTTTTTAAGATTTTATTTATTAATTTGTCAGAGAGAGAAAAAGAGCACAAAAGGGGAGTGGCAGGCAGAGGGAGAAGCAGGCTTCCCAATGAGCAAGGAGCCAGATGCAGAATGCGGGATTTGATCCCAAGACCTAGGTCATGACCTGAGCCAAAGGCAGATGCTTAACCAACTGAGCCACCCAGGCATCCCCATCTTCCACATTTTTTTTTAAAGATTTTATTTATTTATTTATTTGAGAAAGAGAGAATGAGAGACAGAGAGCACGAGAGGGAAGAGGGTCAGAGGGAGAAGCAGACTCAGGGAGCCCGATGCGGGACTCGATCCCAGGACTCCAGGATCATGACCTGAGCCGAAGGCAGTCGCTTAACCAACTGAGCCACCCAGGCGCCCTTCATCTTCCACATTTTTATTACCCATTATCTCCCAGAGGACCAAACACATAGTGCCTGATCCAGGCACTAAGATTTGGGATAGACCTTTTAAGGGGACACCTGAAAGATCTGGTAATAATGTATCTAGATTATTTATAGTAATCTAATGGAGATGAATAATGGAAAATAAGAAAATTGGATTAGTCCAATAACAAGAGGAAAAAGATAATGTACACCAGTGTGGTAACTGAGATGTCAGCATTATTCTCAACAATATTCTGGCATGAACAAAAAAGAGAAGACAAGGAAGACAGGGCAAACAAAGATTAAACAGCAAGATCCAGAATTAGGAGAAATTGCTGAGGAAAATATTTCAGAATGTCATGTTCATATAAAGCAGGCAATAGCATCTCTTGTACTAATAAAGATTGTTTTGTGGTAGGGAAAAATAGAGATGTTGATAGTGAGCCCTGGAAACATGCTATGATCTGAGAGACTAATAAGGAAATGTTACTTACTAGGTAATCCCAAACTTGGGGAGTTTAGCACTGATGGAAAATCTGATGGGGAGGAGAACTGGAGAACATACAATTATTACATCGTACAAGGGAAAAAACAAGGTTTTGGAGTCAGAACAGGATCCCATCCTGTCTGGATTAAAAACCCAGCTCTATATGAACTGAATTTCCTCTGGAAGTTACTTAACCAGTCTCCATAGCATGGTTTCCCCATTTCTAACATGGAGGCAATAATGGTTCCCCCTCATAGAGTTCTGAGGGTTAAATGAGTTTATATTTGTAAAGCAGAGCAGTGCCTGGCGTACAGTAATTGCTATATTAACATTTGATAAAATATTGGTTTCAGTTTCTCCATCTGTATCCTGGGGTCATAATACTGGACTTACTGTAAGGATTCAAGTGATGTGTATAAAGTGTTAGAGAGGAGATGCTCAATAGATATATTTCTCTTCCCCTCCAGTACCCCTAACCTCCAGGCTGTTACCTTTGAATCCCTCTCTGATTACCACTGCCACTGCCATCAAGGGGCTATTGCTCAACACAGTCTATGCAAGGATAAAATATCTTTTCTTGATTTCCCTTGGCTCAGAGGAGAAACTCAAAATGAGTTTAATGGAAGCCAGGAGAAAATAAAAGGGAAACCACTCTAAAGAAACAGCTGATGTAAAGCCTGCCCCATAGTACATCTCTTGGTACTTTGGGCAGAAAAAAAATGATGTCAAGGAGATTCTGGCTTCCTAATACTTCAGTTCTCCCCCTTCTCACTTCTTCTAGGATCCCATAGAGCATCAACTGGCCAAGTTCTTCATTGTCTTCAGAAGAAGAGAGAGGGAGGCAGGGGAGTATTTACTGACAAGAGACAGTAAGTAATCAGAACAAGAAAACTCAACAGTACACTCTGCATGGGAGCCAAGACTTACTCATTTTACTAAGGTTTAGATCAGGGGTCAGCAAACTATGGCCCTTGGACCAAATCAACCAACTGCCTGTTTTTGCGAATAGTTTTTTGGAAACGAAGTCGTACTCAACAGTCACACTCACTTGTTTATGTACTGTCCCTGGTTGCTGTTGTACTACAATGGTAGGGTTGAGTGGTTGTAACAGACTTTTTGGCCCTCAAAGCTAAAAATATTTACTACCTAGCTCTTTACAGAAAAAAAAAAATTTTTTTTTGCTAACCTCTGATTTAGAAAATTCTGCCAGAAGCGTCTTTTCAGCATCCCCAGTGCAAAAATTTTCACCTTTATTAAATCCTCTTCCCAGACCTTAATGTGCATACAAATCATGTGAGGATTTTGTTAAAATGCAGACTGACTCAGTAAATCTACAATGAGGCCTGAGATTCTGCATTTCTAACAAACTCTACAGGATATGAGTTATCTCTAGATCAACTTGATTTCATCGGAGTTTTTTTTTTCTTTTTTTTCTTTATTGAAGTATAATTGACAAATAACATTATCTTAGTTTCGGTGTACAACATAATGTTTCAAAATTATATATTCAATATGTATATATTGTGAAATGATCACCACAATAAGTCTAGTTAACATCCATCATCACACATAATTACAAATTTTTTTCTTATGATGAGACTTTTTAGGATTTATTCTCTTAGTGGGGCAACTGGTTGGCTCAGTCAGTTAAGCATCCTACTCTTGATTTCCACTCAGGACCTGATCTCACGTCATTCTGATTAGGGTGGTAGGATGGAGCTCTGCATTCAGTGGGAAGTCTGCTTGAGATTCTCTGCCTGTCCCTCTACCTTTCCCCCCAGCTCTCCATTGGGCCCCTGTGCTCGCTCGCTCTCTCTCTAAAATAAATAAATAAACCTTTAAAAAAATATTTACTCTCTTAGCAACTTTCAAAAATGCAATACAAAATTTTTTAACTATGGTCACCAAGCTATTCTTTATATCCCCAAGATTCATTTATTTGACAACTAGAGGTTTGTACCTTTTGATCACCTTCACCTATTTCACCCACTCCCCACCTCCTGAATCTGGCAACCACCAATCTCTTCTATGTTTGTTTTTTATTTTTTTTAATATTTTATTTATTTATTTGAGAGAGAGTGACAAAGAGAGGGAGCATGAGTGTGGGGGAGTGGGTGGGGAGAGGGAGAGGCAGACTCCCCACTGAGCAGGTAGCCCGATGTAGGGCTCTATCCCAAGACTCTGGGATCATGACCTGAGCTGAACACTTTACCAACTGAGCCACCCAGATGCCCCTGTTTTTGTTTTTTTTAGATTCCACATATAAGTGAGATCATATGGTATTTGTTTTTCTCTGTCTGACTTATTTCACTTTGCATCTTGCCCTCAAGGTCCATCCACACTGTTGCAAATGGCAGGATTTTCTTATTTTTATGGCTAAATAATATTCCATTGTATATAGATACCACAACTTCTTTATCCATTCATCCATCAGTGGATACTTACGTTGTTTCCATGTCTTGGCTATTGTAAATAATCCTGCAACGAACATGGAGATGCAGGTAGCTTTACAAGTTAGTATTTTCATTTCCTTGGGATAAATACCAGTAGTGGAATTGCTAGATCAAATGGTAGTTCTATTTTTAATCTTCTGAGGA